AGCTAGGTTAAAGCTATAGTAGAATAACCCAACACCCACTTGTGACAAGATGATACAAAAAGGGCCTAAATAGTTTCATAWTGAAAACTGGTTTAAAGTTTTATTATGAAAATTGGTAAACCAAAACCTAGTTTTTGAATCAACAAGATTGGCAGAACCAGGAAAGAAAGTCACCATCAATATTTTCTGACATTTCAGATCTAGTATATCACTCAAAAATAATTCAATAAACAAACTTTAAATTTAGATTTTAAAAAAACACCAGAACAAAAACGTCAGTTTTGATATTTTGTAGGAAAATGTGAAGCCTATTCAGAACAAACTTAAAGACAATCTTCCAATGTCTTTTCCGAGTTTTTGGTATAATACCCTTTAACTAAAGAATTGAACTTKGTTAGCTCGAGGATCAGAGATACATAAAAATGATTTCCAAAGTAAAAGAAGATATTTATCCTTCCTATCACAATATTTCATCATTGAGGAAAGCTTTTATCCTTAGTCTTAGCGCTCCTTTAAACCAGCTCTTCGAAACAGGTGTCTCCTCGTCCACGAATAACTTTTATCATGAAGAATTTTATTTTTCAAGTAGTAATAACTACATCTGAACAATTCCAATGAAATAAATTTATGTTAAAATCTAATATAGATTATAATTGTCCGATTTGAGCAAGCAATAGTTGACTGTACTATTAATATGTCTAACTTCGAATATTTTATTACTTTGAAAGGGAAAATCTAGCACGGCCGAACTTCAAATTCAATGGCCATTTGCAGTTACTTAGAACAGATATTAATGAGTAAAATATCAAAATTTTAAGCTTATCTCTGTTGATCTGACYTTATATTTGACTAAATTGTAAAYATGACCTACATCAATTTGTTTCAACAGTAAGTAATMAGGTTGAGMTCCTTCTGAACATCACTGCGGAACTCACATTCTCTGCAGTCAGCGGTCGGCAGTTTACGATTTCCTCAGCTTCCACCATCAATGTCCTCAGCAACTCGTCGTCAAATTGGCTACCTTGCTTCTTGAGGATGGCATTCAAGATGCTGCAGACTGTTCTGATMTGTCGTTCCCACACGCCGTCCATGTGGCTTGCGTGAGGAACATTGGTCTTGAAGGTSACCCAATCATAGTCGTCCTTGAGGAGTTCGGTATGAACTCTCTGCGAGTGCCTTCTGTAACTTGTTCTTCGCTGCGATGAAATTGGTGCCTTGAGCAGATCTCAGCTGCCTTATCGGCCCTCGACGTCCAACAAATCTGCGGTATGCATTAAAGAATGAATCTGTGTCAAGGTTGTTACTTACTTCGATGTGAATCGCGCGTGACGCCATACACTTAAAGAGCGCGCCGTATCGTTTAAGCTAACGACGTCCTTCTTGGACGATGAATGGACCGAAGTAGCCAACGGCGGCGTACGTGAACGGTGGTGCAGGTTCCAGTCTGTCTTTGGGGAGATCTGCCATCTTCTGGGTTTGGGTGGTGCTCCGTAGCTTGTGGCAGGTGACACTGTAAATATTAACTACGATGTTGAATATGATTTTAACAGTTATATTTCTATTTACAATTTACAGTTGTTTACTCTTCGACTAGACGACAGTACAGATCTCTCTTAGACTGTTCTAAACTATTATAACTTTTTCTCCACTCTTCAGCAGTGTTCTCCCACTTCTCTATCTCCTCTCTCCACTGATCTACKGACTTTGCATGGCCTTTCTTTACGTGTAAAATTTTATATCATTCATCTAGATCTTTCCTTGCGCTACCTCTCGTAGTTCTATACGAATGATATCGAGGTATCCACATAGTTGGGGTGTCCACTTCTTGATAAACGGCTGCTACAATTGGCTTGAAAATTTCTTAAAGGCTTGATCCAGAAATAAACGCATTTATTCACGGCTAGATCTATGTAAATCGATGTCCAGTGTTTTCCTGGTGTGACGGAGGAGCTGTTTTAGCTTTTTATGTGGCTGGACATATATTCTTCCGGCATCAAGAGAACATCATTCAGTAGTAGCGCAGATGTTTTGCTACTTTTCTTGCGTAGACTTTCCGCAATACCATTCGTAATGCTGTAGTGAAGGCATCCCGAACCTGCAATTGTAGAAAGGGATCCAATATAAACGATTAAAAAGCTCAACTGATGAGCTCCTCGGCTCGGCATCTAAAATAGCCCTAGCTGCCCTTTTWGTAACCTTAAAATTCTCAGAAGTGATTCGTTTGAAATTAACAATTGCCAAGCTTCAGTGGCATAATTAAAGATAGGCTTAATCAAAGCGTTATAAAATGAAAGTCTTTGGTTTAACGGTAAACAGAGTTTGATGTTCTTGCACAGCCTATCGATGTAAGTGTTAAAKGATAAATCATGGTCAATGTGAAGTCCAAGAAGTTTAGCAGACGACACTTGCTCCAACATTACGCCACTACTTGTTTTCAGAGATAGTTTATAGCTATTGGGTAGTTTCTTTGCAAGTCGTTTACCAGTTAATATTAATGTCTTAGTCTTCTTTTCATTTAGAGGAAGTTTATTACGGTGTGTCCAGCTGCTTGTACCTAACATTGGAGCTTACAAGCTCACATTAGATTTAGCAACCATTATGTACTTTATAATTTGGTTAATTAGGGGCTGTGTATATGGAGGCAAGCCAGCCCGGTAAGTGGGMTAGCCTGCTTTGTSAAGATCTCTGAATCTGCTAGACGAATTTCTCTTTTGAATTTGTGGTCTGGGTATGTACCTGCTTGGAATGGATCCTCGATTGCTGTGACTTTGGCCTTCAGGTTAATCGTCCTCATACCATCTGCTTGTTCTCTTACAAACTGTGAGATTGTAAATGTATGATGCTCTGTTAAGAACTGTTCTTTAGCTTCAGTGAAAACAGTGTTTTGATTGATTYGTATTTCTACTGAGTTTGGTACATTGAAAGCTATCTTGACTTTGTAGTCTTGAAAGTGGTAGGTGTTGTCTAGTTTCAACATGTCCTCTGTGAAACACACTGCCCTAACAGTGGTTTTGGGATCGTCATCACACAGATTTATTTTCGTGTTATTTCTTGTTGGTCTGAGTTCACTTTTACACTGCACAAGTCGTGGTTTCACTCTTTTTTCTTGGTGACTGCGGAACAGGTGCTTGTTTAATTTTTGCCTGAGAACTTCCTGAGAAAGAAAGTAAAACTAGAACGGCTTGCATTAGCCTGATTGTAACAAACGCCGCCGATGTCGAACCTAGTTGCATCTAMAATCGTCTGGAGATGAATCATACCTTGTTCCGATTTTTCTGTCCGAGTTGTCAATAGGAATCAAGTGTGGCATCGTACTGCTTTGCGCGAGAAACACGGACACTCGTGATGAACTCACGTGGTTGTYTACTTGTAATACTCCTGATCGTTTACAATAATACTTCTCTACATTCATCTGCGATTCATATACACTTCAATAACAGCTCATCTACGGTTCTGAAACATTTACAATCACTTTACAATACATTCGCTACAAACATAACGAAATTAAACGCTAATTCTCTACATACCTCGTGGTAAATTCTCCAACMCAATCTGAACGATGCCCAGAATGAAAACKTATAATGATATGCATGCAGTGGTATACCGCTGACCGTGAATAGATACACGGATCTTACATCAAGTTTATCTTACAACATGTTTCTTTTTTTCACTATTTCTTATACTTGTAATCCGTAAATCGATATTGGTATATTTTACTTTAGATCTGTAGTTCTGAATTAGCCATCTTTTAGACTCACGATTTTGTAATAAGTATGGATGACCGAGCTTATAAACTTTTCTTGGTAGTGTCCATGTGTCCATGTGTCCATGTTCTGTTTGCCATCACTTTGACATCTATTATTTGTATTGCGCGATGCTAATTTGAATTTCTTTATAATTCTTGTATTTTATTAATGAAGTATCCAGCAATCCGTTTTGATTGAAATTTTTAAATTTAAAAAGCGTTGAATGGTTTTTCCGATGAAAAAAAGTCTTAGAAGTTTGACTTTCRCGCTTTTAGCTAAGGTAGCCTATGAAATATCCAGCTGTAATTGAATTAAGGGATTAACTGATAARCATTTTAAGGGTTTCCTATGCCGCGGCTGTATTGATGTATTCCTAGTTCTTGGACGGATCCTTGCTTAAACTTGAATATTTTTCCAAAACAATGGAAGAATTTTGTTTCAAGAAAACGGAATCATTTTGGTATTTGTGACAAGGCAATTGAATTTCAATTTTATTCTAATTAGACTAATTCTGTATAAAAATTGCATCTGGTATTGATTTGCTTTGCAAATTGGTAGTTAAAGGGACTCTGAGGTGCCAGACACATCATAGCTTAAAATGTACATCAAATCTTGTTGATTTTGAAAATCGAAATAAAGATTCCATGAAATGCGTTTTTTGGGGTGATATCGTCCGTCAAAGTTGCGAAATAACTTAAGCTGGGCTCCCTGTGGAATATCGCGGATTTGATGGCTTGGGATGCCTGTGGTGTGATGACGTCAGATAGTGGAACATGTTGGTTAGCCGGAGTTGATTCAGCAAAATTTCAATATAGAAGTATGGCTGTTCCCTATCAATTTGAACCGGAAATTGCTTCTGGAGAAGAGGATAACACACAAGATGAAAGCATGAGCGAGGAAAGTGAGCAAGAAGAATTGGCGAACGAGGAAAGGCGTCAAGGTATCGATAAGTGGTGTACTTGTCAACAATGTGTCGTGATGGAAACAGCTGATATGTGTTTATGTTGTAATGAGCTTGAATCACGAAAATACGACAATACACAAGGTAATTAAGTAAATGAAACAATTTATTTCACGCAGGACTTCATAATTTTCTAATGTTGAAAATAATGTTTTTAGACTCGACATGTATCACAACTAGTGAAGGCTTCCAATGTGTGTGTCTAAATCGAGATGTGCTTTGGACTGCATTAGTTTCTCTTCATGACAGAGAAGGCTCATCTCTTCCAACTCGAACAAATATTCCAAATAAGTGAGTTTTTTTCGGTATTTTCTATTACGTTCCATACATATATTCCAAATAAGTGAGGTTTTTTTTTATTATTTTGAATTGCATTCAATACATATTCATTTCGCTGAAATGTTTTTCAGCTCTCTGCGTTATGCTAGTTATCGCCAATTTACATGGTGGGTGCATGGTTATCTTGGCAAGAAGATCAGAAGGGTAATCCCAGCATGTGTGGTATCCAAGATAAGATCTACCTTCCCCAACCCAAATGAGGAATATACTGGTTTTAAAGAAGATGGAAGTGAAGTGGCTGAAGTGAATCTTGCATGGGAATTTTGATCAACCTTTTGCAATACTTTGAACACAAATTATGAAAAATTTATTGAAGTAATTAAATTATTTGAATCTTGCAAATAGCTTCCTCTTCTCGATGACTTCCTCTCTTGAAGGCTTTTCAGCTGGTGCCAAGGTTTGTGGAGGTACAACAGTGTTTTCAAGGCCACATTCACCTTTGTCCACTCGGACTAATACCTTTGCAGTTATATCTTTAAGATAGCTGTAATCTTTGTTTTGAAGTACTGGTTTGGCTGTGTATTTCTTGAAAACCTTACTCCATCCAATTCTGTACCGGAAAATGACTTCTTCTTCTTCTCCCTGACCTGTAGCCTACACATGCATTTAGAAAAATCCTTAACTGTTAATCAATACTAAAAATATGTGTTTTTATGAGGTCTACAATCCTAATGAAATCCATGAAATTTAATACACTTCAGAATATTTAGCACTACTTCAAATTAATTTTGCATGTATATCTGAATGTATTACACTCTAATTATTAGTACTATTTATTTCATGGGTTAATGGAAACCACTTAATGTTGTTCTTTTGCCAATATGGAGTTCACACTCAGGGTTGGAGCCTCACCAGCTGCCCAGCATGTGAGTGGAGTTTGTTTGATGTGTTCTCTCCTGTGCCACGAGTGTTTTTTGCAGATTACATAGTTTAATCTCCTCCCTCCACAAAAAGATGTTTGTAAAAATTGTGAGGAGAGAGTATGTATGCACAGAGTATTTATTGTAGTGATAGTGTATGAGAGTGGCAGCAATTGATTTGTTTTGTTTTCTTTATTCATACTTTTGTCTGACAATACATTTATTAGTAGTAAATATTTAATTATAAGTACTAAAAGCAAAAAAAGAAACTATGTACCTGTTTCCTATTAGCATTATGGTTGTGATCAAGAGCTGCCAATTCAGTTCCAGCAATCATGGCATGATAAGTGAAATGCTGTAGCTTTGGTAAGTACTTCAAATATAAAGAGTGATACACCTCTAACATTGAAGTTGAAACACATTGTGTACAAAGCCTCAGATCATTGACAAGTCTGGTATTTGTCACAAGTTTGCGAAGAAACACATGTGGTGGGGAGCCTGGCTTTAACCACTTCTTTTTCCTAGAGGCTTGTTGTGATAGTCTTCCATGTGCACACTTTTTAAAGTGTTTTGACCCTGGCCATGAATGTTTATTAATAGAATGATGTACAATGGATGTCCATTTCTCTACCAGAATGTCAGCTTTGCCATCACAAGTTTGTATACACCACCAAAAGTGATTTACGATTGATTGATTCCAATCACTCAGTATTGCATGGCTTTTCTTTTTTGCAGCCTTATTTATTTTTTTACTAACATTCTTTATAAGATGCCATGGGTCCAACTGATGCACTTTTTCTGGTTTTTTCTCCCTCATGAATTTCTTTATTTGAAGGTGACGATCTGTTGAAACCCCCTTTACACTGACACAATGTTCTTCTTCAATTCGAGTAATCACTCTTTTAAAACCTTCAAGTTCCATGGCATTGGAATTTTGTACCTCTGTTACCTGAACAACCTCAAAATCAACAATCTTTTCTGTTTCAGAATCCATTGCTGTATATACACCATATTTAGCACTGTGGACAGGTGAATCTGCCCGTCCATCTCCTGCCAACATTACTGGCTCTTGCCTTTGTTTCAGCTGTTCAATTACTACTGCTTGCTCTTCTTTCCATGCTCTATGAATCTCTGGGAAAATATATTCCTTTCTTATACGATAGAAAGAGTTCTCAGATATATTGTTTAGATTTAGTAAGTAGGCAAACTGTTTAAATTTAGCAAATGGCAGTCCACTCAGTGCTATTGCAGAAACCAGCATTATATTACCAATTCCTTTACAGTGAGAAATGTCACAAGGTTGAGATTTCCATGTATTGTTGCAACCATTTAAACAGGTAAAACTTAGAGTAAGTAATGATTCATCTAGCAGCAGTAAGGGGGACTCGCGTAGCGCCGGCATTTGAAAAAATGACATATCGAAAAACCCCAGCCCCCCCTGGGGTTTCGGAGGTAGGTTAAAGGCCCTACAGGGGGTCTTGCGCGATCCGGGGGCAGCGCGATAAGTCCTTACTGCTGCTGTATTTGGGGTACCGCAAACGGAGGTTAAAATATCTTATAAATATACGATGCACGAATGTAAGAAGTTCGCCAATGACCTCTGTGTGATTTGTCTAAGAT